TCCGCCTAAGAGGGGCAGGGGGCCGAAAGCCAGCCCCCCAAGCATAGGAGAACAGCTCTGCTTGGGGGGTCCCGAGGTAAGTGTCCTCACAAGCACAGCATCTCTCCTACTCCTCTTTGCTATCTCCAGCTCTGGGCAGCAGCATGTACTCAATGCGATCACCCCTCGGAAGCCCTGGGGCTCCGACACAGACCTCGGGTCAATGCTGGGCCAGCCACAGTGCAGCCAGCCACATTTCCTCCCTCCTCAACCAAAATATATCCCTGATCAGAGCAGCACTGAGAAACCAGAGCTTCAGTCCATTCTTCTCGGAGAGGGCAGCACAGGGATGTAAGGCTGTAAGTCCACGCTGGCTTGGGAAAAGGGACTGGAAAAGAAACCTACATCATTTAAAACTGGTACTAAAGTGCAACAAAAATGTCCTAAACCCTTTGAAATCAATCGCAGTAAGAGGGGTCTGCAAAGCTTCAAACTTCCAGTTACTGCAGGGCACCCTTAAAACAAACCCAACAACAACCAGGTAAAAGCAGACCAAGGAGCCCTTTGGTGAAGCAAAGGAATACGAGGCCACCACAGAGAGTTTAGTCTCCTGGGGCCAAACATCATATTTAGAACATTTGGAAAGGAAGAAAGTTAAAGCAAAAGAACAAAAATACAATTCTTGAATCTTGCGCAACGAAACAGTTAAACTTTTTGGTGTTTTCAAAAAGAAATCCCAACAGACAGCCTGGCATAACTTTATCTGCTTCTTAAGGGAGAGATGCCCGTTTGACCCATGACTCAGGACACCATGTGCACTGGACATGTTCCATCCTTATGTATGTCTCAGCATTCCTCCATTCATAAAAACAAATCGCTAGATCCTTCCTGTTTACTCTTCAGTCTGAAAGGAAAACCCAAAACTGAAGCTAGATGGAAGATAGCCAGAGGGAGGAGAAAGTTTTCACAGACTGGAGGCCAATCTCATCAGCTCCACGAGCCTGGAAAGTGCAATCCTCAGTGTCGCCTCATTTTAACTTTCCTGGCTGGGCTGCTGTCCTCCTCTTCCTCGTCACAGTCCTCCGTGTACTCGTAAGACCTTCGCCAATAGTTCTCGGAGCTGAAGTTGCTCCGTCTCCTATGTTTCGGTAAGAGGACTGAGCGCCTGTTTTCCTCTTTATCCATTTCTAGAATCCGTGGCCTATGGAGAGAGAGAAAGAGGGAATGAGAGCACATCCAGGACAGGGTTTAGGCATTCCCTTCTGCGGACACTGTCTGCAGTTTCACACACTTTAAGTGATATGACCAACCGTTTCCGCATCGCTCGCCCCAGAGTGGGAACAGATCACCAAGCTGCACCTCCCGTGGGGAAGCTGAGAACTTGGCTTTTGATGGTGCAAGTCCTCCCCCTTCCCAGGGCAAGTTTTGGTCTTTACCTCCACCAGGAACACTTCGAAACAGCCCAGTCACCTCTTTTTAAGTGCAGCTTGTGGCCCCAAGAAACATCCCTTGGGCAGAGGCGGCTGTCTCTCCCCCAGCACAGAGCTGAACTCTTCTTTTAAGCTGCTGGGGTGCTTGTGGTGCAGGATCAAACCACAGCTCCAAACTCCTTCGTTCTTTCGCTAGTTCTCTCAAACATTAGCACAGCGCAATCATTATTTCTGCAAATCTGTCTCTATTCTCGCCTACGATCACTTTGTAGCAGGACTGGGCTGGTGGGCTGCGCAGACCACTTACTTCATCCTAGGTGGCAAGTGCTGAGCTCCTCTAAGAGACACCACTATCTCGTATCCCTGCTATTCACCTGTGTCATACTGGAGTCTTTGAGGCCAAGGTAAGAGAAAAACATGTTTTTTATTCCTATCTGTTGCAGGAGTCTACGCAAGCCCCCCCACCCTGATAAGGTCACATCGGGCTGAAAAACAGCTCTCACGGATCTGCAGATTTGTCCTACATGATCGCTTCTCTAATCACACACCGGCCCACTGCATGCTCAGAGGTAAGCTTTCATTAGCAGCCTAGCTGCTCTTCTTCACCTGTCTTCCCAGCCCGACTCCAGGTGAATGAACACCGCTCACAAACAAGCCATCCCCACCCTCTTCCCTCCAGGACAGGTTGAAACACGGGCTGGGACCGCACAGCAGCCGAGCCCCATGACCAAGCCAACTTTTGGTTTTTACATGAGAGAATGCTGTCTCGATCCTCAGGAAGCTTCGGAATTGGAGAATACCAGAAACATTGCACGACAGCTGGCAGAGCAGTGATCACTCACGGCTATCAGCATGTTCACACACAGCAAGGTGGTGTTTGAGGGAAGCCTCGCTGCAGCGCTCAAGCTGTTTGAAACCTCAGCGAGGAGCTCCCCTGAAGGTCAGGCTTACACATTCACACAGTCTGGTTACACACAAAAAAAACATTCACATGCAGCTCTGGAACCCAAACAGATCTAAGAAGCTTCCCAAGAAGGCCTTCACCTTTCCCAGAGAGCAAAACCTCACCTTCTCTCCCAAGCCTGGTTTCATAATATAGTTTAAGGCAGCTGCACAGGTTGCTTGGCAATAGAGGTCAAAAATAATTAGCTGCAGGGAAACTATTGTTCTGAATGACTGCATTATCAAGAGACAGCCAAATCTATTGCTTCTTCATTATGCCACTCACAGGATAAACAATGTAAGCTGCTTAGCCAGAGCTTAGCCTCTGCCAGCCTAGGAGGAACGTATGAGGGACCTCGTTCTGATAGAACAGATCTGCACACCACAGGAAGAAGCCAGGAGGTGCAAATTAGGATGTTTTTAAGTGTGCTGTGCATCCAGGAACCTCAGACACACACTGACCTAGAGATACCATCCAAAAGACCATCCTACCTGTGAGCAGCATCAGGATCCGCTTTGCGATGGGACCGCTTTGGTTTCAGGATCTGGTCCCGGTTGTTTCCCGACAGACGGTCAGAGTTATAACCTGGTGGCAACACAGAGCTACTCAGCGATTTTGTTTCCAATCGAGGTGCATCTAGTCTTGTTCTGCAAATATTTAAAGAGAAGAGAATTTGCAAGGAGTTTGTACAGAACCATGAGCACGCTGCAGCAGACATCTGTCCTAGATGTGCCGAAGCGCAACCCTCAATCCCAGCCGCACAGCTCAGGAAGGGGGTCAGGACTATTACACTCAACAGCAAAACAAGCTGCAGCTTCCTGGTACGTGCAGCTTTGCTGCCTTGGTTAGAGGGACGAGGAAAGCTTAGGGACATATGTAGTCATGAGGTGAACATGAACAGTGCTGGGCTCATCGCAGTCCCAGTTACGGGACACAGAGTAGAGGTGTTAGAGCCCCTGTGAAATCCTGTGAAATCCCAGTGACTCGTCAATAACTAGCAGCTCCAGTTAAGCCACCTGGGAGATGTCCTGCGAAATTCATCATCACCTACACCAGTAATAACTGCTTCTATCTGGAAACTCCCGACTGTCTCAAGAGCTCGTGAGGTCAGGCGTTTCTCAGCTTGACTAAGAGGTTGAACGAGTTGAAGTACGAGTCAGGAGAAGGTCTAGCGAACAGAAGCTGCACTGCATCCTCTCCAGTAGCACATGCTCAAGCTACACTGGAGAACAAGCCCAGCTCATCCCAGAGCAGAACTGTCACTGGCCCAGGCACGGCTGTAGCCACGCACACATGGAGGGAGGCAGCAGAAACGAAAACTCGACGGCACAGCATCTTATCACGGCACTATCACCGTCTCCAAGCACAGCACAGGTACCAGTCTCAACTTACAAGCACTGCTAAAGCCTATTGCAAAACACGGGCTGCATCTAAGAATGGACAAAACACACTAAAGGCAGTACTGGTGCTCCAGAAATGCCAGTTTCAGGAGGATCCAAGCCACTTCCCGGAAGGAAAGGCATCCTGATATTGCTGCTGCAGCCTTGGGATTAGGGGTGAGTACAGAAGGGGTGTAGGTGAAATAAAGGGGAGAATCACTGCTTGCTCTAGTGCTGAACTTTAGCTCCTGAGGGAGGTTTCCACAGGAGAATCCCAACCTAAACTCCCTCCAGGAATCACATCCAGTTGCCAAGCTTCCTCTCCAGTCAACCAGGGTGATGCCAGGCCAGCACATACGAAGCTGGGCATGGCAGCCCACGCCTGCCCGGCATGCCAGAAACAAGGAACACTTCCGCAGGCAGCTGCCAGGCTGAAGCCAGCACTGGTCCACACCACTGTTGTCCTGAGCTGTTCCTGGCTCCAGGACTGGACCCAGTCCAGTCACAACACCAAAGGCATTGTGGATCCTGCCCCGGACAAGTTAGGTGGTTTAAATACCTGACAAATACAACAGCAACTACAGGCCTGCAATTAAAACAAACAAACCACCAAATATACAGGAAGGGCAAGGGAACGCCACCCACGGCCTCTCCGTCCACAGAGCAATGCATGTACGAGCTGCAGGTACAGGGAGAGGCTATACTGAAACGGAGAGCAAACTACCACCAAAGTTCCAGTTAAATAGAAAAACTCCCTGATGTAACTGCTTACAAACAGCAGCATAAGCTCTCTACAACGACTTGCAAGACCGCTTCACTAGGTCTCATTTCTATCTCCGATCTCTTTCAGCACCTCATGAAATTAGGAGCATCATTCCTCCCCCCTAAAGCCTCTCGCTCAAACCACTTCCAAACCTTGCTGGCTCCCCGCAGCCCCGCACATCGATACGCAGGAAACCCTGTAAATATCATCACACTACAGAGCCAAAGTGTTTATGACCTACTTGGTAACCACGCTGCTCTCCAGCATTCTGTAAAACCCAGCCACTCCTCCAGCTCGTGCAGCTTTGTTCTTCTGCCGTTGCCAGCAAAAACCATCTCTAGAACCACGCACTCGGCGTAGAGGCAAGAGCAGATCCAGACTCAAACGTCTGGGGCCCAGCAGGCTCTGGCAGCCAATTCAGAGCCAAATATCCCAGCTCCTAGCTGCAGCAAAGTTTACACCGCTCCATGTCCCAACTGATCCGATCCTGCTGGAAAGCTCAGGGTTGATTCTCACCATGAAGATGAGGAAGAGGAGTTTTATGAGGCTACTGGCTGCCCTCTTGTGCTAGCAGGCTACCAGCGGAAGGAGCTGTTTTCCTGGTTGCATAACACACTATTTCAGAACGGCACAAAGTCGCATGATCTAGGACTAGGGAACAACGGCATTTGCTGCAGCAATACATGTTGTGGGGATGCGAGCGCAGACAAAGGTCACCGCAGCCCTGCTGTGCATGCATGCGTGCACGCGGGACTCTGCGAGGAGACGGCCGCCGTCACAAGGGATAAACAGCAATTAATAAGCTCTATTTGGCAGCAATCGGAGCATGCTCTTTGGCAAACCGGCAATTGCCATGTATTCACCAGGGCTGCTAAACTCTACGGAGATTACACAAAAATAATTACCAGGGGGTTTCCACTTTGCTCAGAAGAAAAAAAAAAAATTCGTGCTGTGGTTTCATTCAGCCTGCCAGTCAAGTCAGCCCATGGCTGTCTGCGTGTGACCAGGCAGAGACACTTCTGCTCTAACGCTAAGCGAACCAGGCTCCTAAAATCAGGGAAAGACAGAAGGGTGGCTAAGCAAACACAGCCGACACGGCTCTGCCAGGAGCTAACGGGCCTTGTCTGCTCCGCAGTGATGCATCGGGTCAGCAGGGCACAGCTCAGCCAGCCAGCTTGCCTGGTTGCATGTTGAGGACAATCAGGCTAGACTGAAATAACCTAACACCCCTAGCTCACAGAGGCTGGCGAAAGCATGAGGTAGAGTCAGTTTAAACAAGTATGTTAAACATCTGCACCAGCTTGGGCAGCTTGAGCTTATTTAGCCAAATCTCTCTTTTCTAGGGAACTGCTCCATAGGCTAGGAGTGGCGGCAGCTCCATCCCAAAGCCCAATAAAAACCAGCTACAGGGTGTGGAGATGCCTTCCACTGGTGCTCATCAGCACTCACGCTGCTTTTCGTTGGCTGCAGTAACCAACAACATGAACCTAACAGCCTTTTAGTTCTTACCACAACCCTCTCGCCTTAAACCCCACGTGGCAATAACCAGCTATCAGGCGGTTTGGTTCTAATCTTTCTTTCATCCCACTCTATCAGCTGCCACATCTCATCCTGCCTCCTCGGGTCTGTCCTGATTTTGCCTGGCTAACGCCTCAGGGCTGCTGTTTTTCCTGCCTTCATTTCACGGGTCTCTCTAACCAGATGTCCAACTCTGCTCCACTGGCTTTGTGCCATATCTTCACAAGGTTGCTAGACTTGTTTTGAAATAAACTAAGCTGTCCAAAGGCTCTGCAAGTCTGCAGCTAGACCCCTTCCCTGCTAGTCTCATGCCAGCCTGCAGCCCTGCCTCATGCCCATGCTTTCGTTTGGATTTACAGTACTCAAACCATGTGTGTTTTCACTGCAAAAAGATTTCTGGACAGTGGGATTACTGCCAACACCTTCTAAGGCACAATCAACATGGGTCAACATGGGGCAGTCACAGTTTTTGGTCTCCTAGTAGAAGGAACTGATGAGAGAGGACATTTCCAGGCACAAAAAAAGGTCATGCTGAGGAGATTGCGGTGGAGTTGCTTTGGGGCTTTTTTTTTCCCTTCCCCTCTTTTCTGAAGAGCTTAGGAACAGACACTGGCTGATGAAATGCCATCAGCTGACCGGGACAGCATGTCTTCTAGAACAGGAAGCGTGCCATGCAACTTACAGAGCTTGGCTTCCCAACACCGACTTGAAGGACAAGCTCTGTAAACTGATCGCTAAATTCACCGCATCCGTTTCGCTTTGAAGCCAGTGTCTTCCTCCCTCTCCCCAGGAAATGAAAGCCATGCTACCAAGAACACTGTATCTGCTTTATAGGAGATTCTTGATCGTAAGCATCGCCTCCAAAGGACCATCCAGGTAACTCACGCACATGGGTATCATCTGATCAGACACCTGAACACACAGCCCAAAACAAGACTTGCAAATCCCAGCTGTTGGGAGCGAGGCAGCCAATGAAAGCCAGGTCCTCAGACATGAACAGAACTTGCAAATCCCGACATTACAACGAAGTACCGCTGTGCAGAGCCAAGCAGCGATCAACTCTGCAGCAACACGTGCCATCTACTTCCACTGGCGAAGCGAAGGGTCACGCAAGACACAAGCGAGCATCAGAGTGATATCTAATCAAGAGGTAAGATTGAGCCAGCAAATTAACCAGCAAGGCAGTTTTAAAGTGTTTCTTTAAAAGCACTTCAGGAAACATCATGACACCACGTTCAAGTTTATCTTATTGTCCAGAGGGCTTCAACACTTACTTTCGAAGGATGATGACAGCTCTTCTCTCCTTGATGTCCTGTGGTCGAATACAGTGTGTAATTTCATCGGCTGCATACCCACTGACAACAAAAACAAAAAGCTGCTGTGAGAAAGATGACATGCAGGAGCAGAAAGCAGATGCCAGTCTCAACAACTCAGTTTGGACAATAATTTCCAAATTTCTACCAGGAATTCCTCCTCTAAACACCATTCCCCAGGCACACGGGAGCTAGACTTACAGGAAGGAGGAAACAACAGGAAAGAGTTGGGGGTGTGCAGCCTGGAGAAGAGAAGGCTCTGGGGAGACCTTACAGCAGCTTCCAGTGTTGAAAGGGGGCTACAGGAGAGATAGGGGGGCTCTGGATCAGGGGGTGCAGGGATAGGCCAATGGGTAACGGTTTTGAACTGAAGGAGGGGAGATTGAGATGAGATCTGAGGAAGAAATGTTCTCCTGTGTGGGGGGTGAGGCAGTGGCCCAGGTTGCCCAGAGAAGCTGTGGATGCCCCATCCCTGGAGGGGTTCAAGGCCAGGCTAGATGAGGCTTTGAGCAACTTGGGCTAGTGCGAGGTGTGCCTGCCCATGGCAGGGGGTGGAATTGGATGGGCTTTAACGTCCCTTCCAACCCAAACCATTCTGTGATTCTATGCAACGGCTGGCAAGGACAGGAAGACCTCTGAAGGGACTCGGGTGAAGGCTGCTCACACCACACAAAGCTAGCACACCCCCACACTATTTTAACCTGAAGCAGAACTCTCTGAGCCCACTCTCCCCACAAGACTTTACTGCGAAGCTGCTGCCATTTGGCCCTCCAGGAGCCCGTCCAGGGTCATGGGCTTGCAGGTTATTCAGGACGCTCAGAGCAGAGAACGGATCATGTGCACACGTCTTCTCTGGGGACGGGACCAAGTTTCCTTTATCTGGTTAGATAACCCACCCACTCACCGAGAAACGATGGATTTACTGCTTTGAGAAGAGAGTTAAGAGTCTAAACCCTGATCAGTTAAAACAGGGGTGATGTCCATCCCTCCGTCCTCCCGGGCACCGCAGAACAAGACAGCGTTACACGAAGGGGCTTATAATGGTGCTCTACTGTGTTCCAGCAATCTCTGCATCAAGCTCCAGAGAATTCATTAATATCACCCACAGTGACATTCAACTCGGCACATCCTCAGCAACATCCTGAACATGAGGAAAAGGTCTGCTTCCAGACCTGCGCTCTCCCCGCCATGAGATGTCAGCCTGGCCACTCGTTCTCACCCCCGAGGCAGGAACTCACTTTCCGGCATGCTTTCAGAGCGGTGCCAGGCAGAGCTCGCAGTCCCAGATGCACATGGTGTCCCAGGAGCACCAAAGCAACCCAGTACCCCACCCGAGTCCAGTCTGCCCCAGTGCCATGCTGGTGTGGGAGAACTCAGCTTGCACCATATGACATGTAGGGATGGTGTCTCTCTGCAGGGCCCTCCAGCAAAGGGGTTCGCACAGGTGGAGAAATGGAAGAACAAGATTATTTAGTTGCATAGCGCTTGTTCTGCTTTGTGCCAGCGTGAACTTCTCACCCGCTGCCCAGCCATGCTGCATTGTGATGATGGGAGAAGGGACAGACATTAGAACAGAACACCCGTAACGATATCGAGGGTTTACCCGGAGATTTCTCACCCAGAGACCAAACCCAAAGCACGAGGTAAGAGGTAACTTGGGAAGGAAAGCCCTAAACTGCCGCCCACGAGAACACCCCAGCATCACGCGTCCAGCCTGGAGCTTTTCCTGGATGAACACAGGGAGGTGCAGATGCCATCCACACACTCCCCCAGCTAACACCCCACCTCCTACCTCACCTCTCGTATTCTATCCCCCCAAATTCCTCTCAAGTCTTTTTTTCAGCTCCAGAAGAGCTGCTGCAGAGCCACAACGTAACTGATACACATGGAGATGAAAGCAGAATTTTTTTGTACAAACATCACCAGAAAGGAGGCCCTGAAGTTCCGCAGAGTCTCTAACGAGAAAATATTTCTCAGGGTTGACGACAGCCAGGCCAGCTCCGAGGCAGAGGGACCTCACACACCAGCCCACCGCAGGGTTTGAGCAGCTCACGGCTTTACTTGTGGTTCAGGAAAGCTGTTGCCACAAACCACGGATGTGACAGCGACCGGTTCAAGCAGAGCTTGAACAAATCTATTTGCCTCATCACCCCTGGCACATGCAGAACTTCCTCTGCACCAACGGTCTGTTCGGAGGGATCAGACTTTTCTGGAAAAGCATCTCATGCAGGCAGCTGCGGAGAGATTCCTCCAGCTGGGAAGAAAGCAGGTTCATCCTCCAGAGACTCCAGCCAGCTCCGATTATGCTACCATCAGGAATAACAGGAGAGACAAACATCACGATGTTTCCACCACTATTACAAACAGCGGGGAGACAACCTGGAGCGCTCACCATCTGCAGAGGGAAGCCCGTATGGCGTACGAGCTCTCAGAACCTACGAAATGTTACCTTTGGTCATTCCTTCCCCTGGCTAACTGCAACTGCGCTATCTCCAACCACGGTGCCAAGATGCTACACCCGGCAGTTAAACAAAGCCATCTGGATGCCAAGATTTGCCACCTACGATGGTGGTGTGGCGCAGGGGTCTGGCCGGGACCCCCCCACCCCAGCTGGCTCTGCACCTCCCCAACACCCTCCCTTTTTTCCAGCCTAACAATTTATCCAAGCACGTGTTCCCCAGATGAACAGGCAATTTCCTCCCTCTCCTCCCCACTGCTTCTCTCGATTGATGCTTATCAAATTATTTTTTTAAAAAAAAGAAAACCCACAAATGTGGTCCAGCCAGCAGCCCCCCAATGGGCAGCTGACGGCTCACAGGACTGAAATCCAACTTAACTCCGACTGCTCGAGAAGAGCAGCACAGCCCGAGGTGCTGCTGCCGCTTCCTCTCAGTCTGGCTGGCAGCAGGACAGACCTGCAGGAGCACCCGCGCCTGGGGCCGCAGGAGAAGAGGGGACAGGAGAAGGTCATCTTCAAGACGTCAACACCTACAAGGGCAAATCTTCACCACAGATGCCAAAGGAGAGGAAAAAGAGCCTCGCTGGAAGAGCAGAGGGCTCATCCGTGGGTCGCAGGGTGGCTCAGCCTCTGTCCTGCTGGCAGAGATGTACAGGAGAACCTCCCACCCACCTTTCAAACACTGACACGGTGTCTTGAGATACGAATACTTTCCAGCGAGTTTGAGGAGGGTTCAGTGTTTGCAAACACCACAGCCTGCTCCAGGGTATGCAAATAAAGTCAAGGGAGGGATGTGGGGAAGGCCTCTCTGCAGACTCCCTGCAGGCTAGGTGGTTACAAAATTGGGAGAATCTGGAATAGGCTGCTGAGAGCAGGAACAGGACACGGGCGACCTGGGGAGAGCCAGAGAACGATGTCGGGGCAAAAAGAAAGATCCGACAGCTTTCTTTAGATCCTCAGGATTTCCATACGGTAACCAAACACACGCAGCTCCCCTGGCTTCCCCAGGAAGGCAGCACACCAGCAGCAGCCACTGACCCAGCAATATTCAAATCGCAGCCGTTAGGAGTGTGCCATTTCTATCTGCGCTGGTTCCCTATCTCCAGGGCAACTGCCTGCAGCAACTGTTTACCCACAGGAGAAAAAGCCAAGTTTGGGGAGTTGACTTAAACACGACCAAGGGCTGGATTTCGGAAATACACCCCTGAGAGCCTACCAACGGTCTGCACCCCTCCCTGCTCCTCCCAAATCGCTGGGGTTAGAGGGGAGAGGAGGAGATCTGCACGGATCTGCATCCGGCCAGGATCATATCATCACAGAACAATCACTTTGGCAAAATCTCTCTTAAGTGAGTGCTAAGTATCTGCTAACTGCTGTACCAAAATTGAAATAATCCCAGTTTTACAGTCTATTATTTGCTGGAAAGCAGAACATCTAACTGCGGATCAAGCTAGTGAGTGCCTGCGGTGGATCGGTCAGAAGGCAACCCTTCTGTTCGGAGGGAAAAGATATCTTAGTTTGATTTTACGATTACTCCAGCTGCGTTAATAAACCCATCACAGCACCCAGGTGACGCCAGCCAACAACCCAAATGCACAGGCCTGGGAGACACCCTGCTCCAATTCCAGGAGCCCTGAGACAGGCACCTCTTCCCAGCAGTTTTTGGGGGCAGAGCGAGGGTCTGGGACAAGAAAACATCATTCTCTGGTCTTGCAGCAGAGAAAAGCATCTCTCCCTCCTCCTGCAAACCCCCGCCGCAAAGTCCTGATCCTCCTTCAGGCGTAAGGCCAGGAGAGCTTTCCTGGTGCCTTTGACTGAAAGAGTTCGGGCTGACCCTGCACTAACAGCTCTGCCAGCATGCTTCTAAGCAAGAAAAAACTCTCACTTTCCTTAAAATAATAAAAAAAAAAAAGACTTCTGGCTGTGAAAGGAAGGACAACTATTTACTCCAAGTCCCCCTGGGAAAGGCAGCACAGGGGTTCGTATCACCAGCAGGAAAATTCAGGTAGAAAGTTTCCCTCCTTGTGTCCAAGAGGAGCGGAGGGGCTGCCTCGCACCCATCAGTCTCCATCCCCAGGGACGGGGATTGCTCTGCGGTAAAAGGACATGTGGCAGGACGTGGTCCCTCGGTCCCACTTCACAAAATCACCCTGACCTCTGCTCCCCTCCCCGCGCCCTCCCTGCCCCAGCCAATCCACCAGAGAACGAGAAAATGTCCTCAGCGCTGTTCCCGCTTCCGTTCCCGCTTCCGTCTGCAGCCTCCCTCATCCCTCGCTAATCCGCAGAAGTTACCTAACGCAGAGGGTACGGCGAGGATTAGTTAATGTTTGTGCAGCTTTTCCGAGATAAAAGCTACGTGAGATCTCAGCATTTATTATTGATGCACTAGTCAACGGTGCGAGGCTGGGTCGTGTGTGTCTGGGGGGGGGGGGTGAAGAAATTCCTTCCCGAACCCTGCAGCGATCACTTTACAGCCAAAGCAGGAGATTGTGTTACAGCCTAGGAGCCCTGAAAACCAGCCTGGACCTTCCCCAGTCCAAAAAAAAAAAACAAACCCAAACGAGGATACAGCTGGTAGCTCGGAGCACTGCTGGCAGCACGGGTGATCCCTGCTCCGGGCTGGGAGCACTCTGACCTTCAGGACACGAGGGATGGGTGCTCTCCGAGTTGGGCAGCCCCGGGCGTGGGGCTTCGAGCTGCTCTCCCCAAGATCCGGACACTAGCAGGTCCATACGGCCCAGCCTGCGCCCACCCTGCCTGTCCCCTCGCCTGCCTGCTCTGCCCGCCCGGCACGTCGCGGGAGGCAGCAGCGATTAGGAAGCAGGCGTTTCCCAGTGCCAATCCCAGCTTTACCACCACCCGGCTGCGTGACCTTGGGCAGGTCATTTCACCTCCACAGCCCTTTCCCCACTAGCAAGAACACGCATCCAGTCCTTTCTGGTGCCAGTGACCCGCTGCGCTTCCAAGTGACAGTCCCACGGGGCTCTGCGCTCCCTGCTCCCCGCTAGCGTCGGGCAGGGGAGGGTTGAGCGTTCCCAGTTTAGGGACTGGGAAGACGAGGCCGTTGACACCTCCTCTCCACGCTTAAGGTCAGGTCGGGTAGGCACCGGCCAAGCTAAGAATAGAGCCAGGAGCCCCGTCCCAACCAGCTGCTCCGCTCTTGGGCAGAGGATCCATTTTGTGTCTCGATGTGTTATTTTAACCGTTTACGGGAACGATGGCAAAGCTCGGCTCCACAAGCAGCCACGCTCCCGCCAGGACTCGCCTCGAGCCCTGCAGAGAGGACAACCCCCCAAAATCAATCACCTCCCCAAATTCCCCTCCACCACAGCAGCAGGACCCCCCCAGATCCTTCCTTCACCCCAACGAGAACCTCCACGCCTACACAAGGGTGAGATCAAGCCCCAGCCGCTGCCGGGCTGTGCATCCGTGTGCCTCGTGATTAGCGTTACACAACCGAGCCCCGGCACGTTAGCGGAGGTCCGCGCACCGCGGGCGAGTTACCTGAGCACCGTGACGCTTCCCCTCTTCACCGGCAGGAAGAGAACGGGCTCCGAGACCCTGATGGGCTTGAACTGGAATTTACACCCGAAGCAGAGTGCCGAGTCGCTGAAGAAGGAGACGGAGACGATGGGCCTCTCAAAGATATGGATGGGGTCCACGTGGGAGACAATGCAGCCCCCCGGCTGGTAGTCGTTGATGACGGCACTGTTCACAAAACCCTCGGGAATCACCCGGTGCTCCACCAGCTTCCTGATCACCAGGTCATGCACCCACTCGGGGATGGCGTCCACCTCCCCCCGTGGGTACAGGCGCTCCTGCCCGGGGCCTCGTCTCTGCAGCTGAGACCCGTAGGTGTAGCCCTCCCCGAAAAAATATTTGTTCCGCAGCGGCGCCCGATCGACCGTGTGCTCCTTGTAGAGCCCCTTCTCCGCCCGGGACACCACATCCTCGATGCGAGCTTCGATCTTGGCGCACTCCTCGGCGCTGAAGAGGCGAAGCTGCCGGATGCCGCTTTTCACTTTCCGAGCTTCTTCCTCCTCCTTCTGCTCCTCGTAGTCGCTGGGCTCCGAACCGGAATCCTCCTGGTGCCGCCGTTTACGATCGT